TGAATCAAGATAAACAGTTTTCTCTGCACAGCGATGGCCGACGCAAAATAACCTCTATAGCGCTAAACTCATATTTCTCATTTTCTCTGGATTTGATCCTACATTCTTCTAACTCTAACTAAAAACAAGCCGCAGTCGGGCTGTCTTTGCCCGTTTTTAGACAGAGTCAATGGAGTCATTGATTTCAGCTGCTGTACAGAATCCATCTGGTTAAATCAGTGACAAAGTCTGAATCTGTGTGTTTGTCTCTAGCTGATTACACTGACTGTGATCTGCACACACACACACACACACACACACACACACACACACACACACACACACACACACACACACACACACACACACACACACACACACACACACCACACACACACACACACACACACACAGCACTGCTAGTACAACAGATTATAAGGCAGATACTACAGTATGCTATGTAGTTCAATGCATACCATTCACAGCCTGCCAACAGCTACGCATACCCTAAGATTATTTTACGTCCTGGTCTCATTTCATGGCAATTTCTCGTATGAGATTCTCTGGCAGCTATATGATTGTGTGTAAAAAGACACCCAAAGAATGAGGTGAGGGTTATGTAACGGTGTTAATGTCTCATCTATTCCAAATGATCTTTCAGGTGACGAGAAAGGAGCTGTAAAGCAAGAAAACTAAAGACGGAAAGATGACAATTGGAAAGAACTCGAGGAAAAACTCTGCCCGGAGCTCCATCCGGGCCCCAAAGTTTCTGGACAAATCCAGTGGCTTCTACGGCCGCCTCGATGAGCCAGAGACCCCTGGAGAAGGGGAGGAGGTGAGGGGACAAGAAGTGGAGGAGACAAGGGACAGCAACAAAGAGGCAAGCAGCCCAAGTGTGGTGCATGTTTCTGAGAAAGAGGAAGTGGAGGCGTTTGACCACAACGAAGGGATGATAGAAGACGATGGGGAGACTCTCCTCCAGAGGAAACCCAGCCGCCGCAGCAGCAGGTGGAGCAGAAGCTCCAGGAGGAAGCAGAAGGAGGGGAGGGTAGAGCAGGACGCAGCCCAGGAGGAGAGGCCGAGCGCGGGCACAGAGAGTACAGACACCAGGGTGATGATCCAGGTGGAGACAGGAAAGGGGAAGGAGTCCACGATGGTTCACTTCCCTGTTCGAGAGGATGAGGACGACCAGGTCCTGATCAGAGACAAGAAGAGGGGGAGGGAGGAGGAGAGAGAGGAGGAGAGGAGGATGAAGAAGGAGCAAGAGGAGGGGCTGAAGGAGGGGAAGAGGAGTACGGTGAAGAATTATCGCAAGGTGAGAAATTTGAAAAAGAGCCTGATGATGTGTGAGAATGTATTTACTTTTATAAAGGATAGACACTACAGTTGAATATGATAAATTAATAGATATACCCCCAGTGTATTGCTTACATTAACACAACTATCTAGCGCTTAGGAGGTGAAGGGAAAGATGTAAGTTGGCCTTTGATAAAAACATATTGTAACTCCACCGACACAAGTTACAAAATTAGTCAAATAAACACCTACATTTATATTTGTTATGTTTTCTTTCCATTAGTCTGGAGGAAGACATGTTCTGGATGCTTAATAGCCCAGCGTCACCCCCCTGGTTAAATGTTAAGCCCCTCAGGGTTTGTCGAACAGAGGGGTAAAGTTCTCCCGCTACATGCTGGGCTATTAATCACCATGGTAACTATCACCCTTAATAATAAACCACCGGCGGGGTCAAGGTCCAGCAGCCATCGGTGCATGTCACCATCTCACTCCCTTCCTCTAGTAGGATTCTTTCCTTTACGTCACGTTTAATTACCAGCAGAAATGGAGCTGGAACAGGGGGGACGCTCACTAAAAGCCACGGAGCTGCGCTGATTCACATGTTCCCAACCATTTTCTGCTTTCTTAGACACACACAGCGCAGAGGTGACATTCCTGTGGCTCCAGTATCGTGTTCTTTGATCAGTGGAACCAAGTCTGGCAGTGTTGACCCGCCTGCTAGGCTCACACCATAAAAACATTCCTCTGTTAACCAATCAGAGCCACCCTCACAGCCTGACCTCTACACAATATTAGTTTTATAAAATGATTAAAAAAAAAACACAATTATATAAAGTGTTCGACATTGACCAATCGATTATTAGATAAGGACAATAAATGTTAAGTTTAGCCCTAAACAACCCATGGAGACGAGACAGTCCATTTGTTTACTTTGACATGTTTTCTATTGCTTGTAAGTTCACAGCATGGCAGTTGACAAATAAAAATGTGAGTTTTGTGAGATCCAGAAATCTTGAATTTGTCCCAAAGCAGTGCAATGTCAAAATAAAAAAATTCAAAAATAGGAATAAAGTAAAATAATAATAATACAATTTCAAAAAATGTATGTCATACAATAAATCAGGTGGCAGCCAGTCATTGCAGTAGTAAATTGTAAAACATGTATATTCCACTGTGTTATTTCACAACAGTTACAGTATTAAGTAGTGCAACAAAGGAGCAGCGAGAGGGAGGAATGCAAACAATTCAAAACATGTATGCAGAATAACGTTTGCATCATAAATAAAGAGGAATTAACTGGGTTTAAACATTTTTAGGAAGGTACAGAATCATAAAGTCAAGGGAAAGAAACAGAAAGGTCAAAATGACAACAGCAAAGACACCACATCACTACGTCCACGTCACCCTAACAAACACATAATGAGTTATATTACAAACATTATTATCATGTAGTCATTTCCAGGTTGTTATTTTGGATTATTTGATTGCATTGCTAACCTTTACCCTCCTCTTTCGATCAGGCTTTGGACCGAGCGTTTCGCCGCGGCTGGGAGGCCTTCATCACCAACCTGTACAGCGTCACCCTCACTCCTGTGACATCATCCTCACCAACATCTGCATCCTCACCTTCATCCAAGAAGAAACATCAACACAACTCTGTGCTGGCCGAGTTTCAGTAGAACTTGGGAGAGACATGGACAATAAAACTTAATATTTAGTTATTCAAATTGTGATTATGCAGTTTATGATGGACAATCCTGCCTGTGACATTCACTTTATAGTCTCATGAGTCATACCAAACATGAATAAGTTATTATCAAGTTTTTATGTCAATTTGAGGCCATTTTGAAGTGTCTCTTAGAGGGACATTTTCGAGATGAAGGCCCCTGATTGAGTTTTACTTCATGATGTGAGGAAGCCATACTGTTAATTTTACATTGAAGTCTATGGGACTGGCTTAAATGTAAAAAGCCTGTTTTTATGTGACTGAGTTAAGGTGGTTTTCCTCTATGTTGCAAATTCAAATCACATCTTAGCCCCTTCATTTCGGTCCACTATTAAGAGCTTGGAGCACTAATGACCCCTCCTTCATTTTGGTTTTGCACAATGAAACTACTAAAGTGTTGACGTGTAACCAAAGGGAAGGACATTTCCAACCGTGTAGCAATGACTGATAAGTGGAGATATTTACATTTCTGTTTGTTAATCATTGCCATTCAAGGCTGTTTGAGAGCTAATCATTAATAAAAGGAGAGACGAACACACACAGCTGATGATTATTTAGACATTTTGGGTTGTGATTAACGCACATTTATGTTATTACTTTTGTAGAAATTGATTTTTTTCTCAAGGACTCACTGTTAAAATATCTAAACCTAGGTTATTGAATTTCACAAATGAAATGCACATGTGTTTGACTTCCTCACTGTTTGTTCTGGTGAAGGTTATTAACCTGAAGGGGCAGGGTAGGGGAGTGTTTCAAAGAAAAGCGTATATAATTTATAGCCTGGTTATAAATCACCATAGCTTTTATTGTTAACATTGCACATAAAGTTGGTTATACGTGTTTTAGTATCACTCATTTTTAATGTATTAATGATTTCAATTGTCACAATGAAATATGAAATGTGTACAATAGGCCTGTGTTAATTTCCTGTTGTCCAGTATGTGTCTGGACTCTTGCAGACTAGACTGAAAAATACTTCTAAAAATGTTGTGGTTTTTTAAATTTAAAAATCCTTTTGTATCCTAATCATTGCTTCTGCAGTCCAGAACCAGCAACAAGAAGCACTTTTCTGAGTAAATAAAGATTTAATTTATTATACTGGGTGTGTTTTCATGTTTAAATGAACAAGTTGTAAAACACAGCATCATGTAGCATCAAATAGTGACCAATGAAAATGCTCAAATCCATAAGCAGATCCATCTCGAACCTGCTGAACTTCGATAAGGAATGTAAATATGTAGTTATCTAATCTTAAATATAACCTTTACAAGGGAACATATAACCCTTTGAACACCAATATGTTTCAGCTTGGCCTTCAAACCATGAGAGTTGCTAGAGTTTTGAGCGTTAAAAAACTTTAAATGATGAAATGTAATATGTCGTTTGAGTTCTAACAGATATTCCTACAGGAAGAGAAAAATACATTAAACAAAAATATATATTTCTAGTAAATATTGGAATAAAATAAAACAATAACATTTTATTAGTAATGTTAAAATAGTTCACATTAACTAATTAAATTCCCTTTTTCATCTTTCTTATTGAGCCGTTGTATCTAACATATATTTCATTTGAGCATTCAAGACTAATTTCCTTGTTTATAGAAATTGTGCACGTAGCGTTTGAGTCACAAGGCATAGAGGTGATATCCAAATAATTAAAACCTATTTGAAGAGATGTTTTTATGCAAACTTTTATCTTAAACTGGTTGACAGGAAATCATTTGTTGTTCAGCTGCAGAATTATAGTAGTTTTGGTGTTTTGGTGTCTTTGCCGCCACCTTGTGGATTTAAAACATATTACTATTTATTAACGGAAATGACGCAGTTCAATAAACTCTACTAGTGTTTAAATTATTGTTTAGCTTTATATACTAATGTCCACTACCTTAACCCGAAAGCAGTCTTAAATACAAACATTGTGTATTTTTCTAAAGTTAAATTAGCTTGTGGAAAGACTTCAGCCGGTTTGGCGGTAAAAGTTTCCCGGTGGGCGGAGTCATGGCAGGACATAAATAGCGGACGGACCGTCTCCTCGTTCACTTCCTTCTCTCTCCTGTTCAAGGTAAGATATCTTCATTGAGCAGTAATACTTGTTGAATTTATATCGTCTTAATTATAATATCTTAGTGTAGTGAGCTATTACTTTGACATTATACTTGATATGTAATTGAGCTTTTAAGCTTTCCTACCAATTTACCATCGACAGTGGGCTGTTAGCTTTGATCTCAACTGCAGCATTGAGCTTAGCTGTTCACAATCCTTCACCATCCTACTCTAAAACTCTTTATGTTCATCTTGTGTTGGTGTCAACATGCATGAGAACATATTTCATAAATGCTGCATTTATTATTTAGTGAAAACCACAAGATGAACTCGTGTTTTAGTCTCATGTTAAAAATGGCTGCCACTCGTTAGCTGTGGCCTCAGTGTCTCTCAATGATGATAATTACACAGACCTGTACTGAATGACTGTGACTGGACTTAATTATTCTGATGCGAGACACATACAATATTTCAAACTCATGCAGTCCTGCACACGTGGTCACGTGTTGGCCTTTCAGAGGACATGCTAGCTACACCCTGCTAAAGTGATGAATGTATAAGGCTAAAGCATTTCTTTTTTTGTTTCTAGATGGGGAAGAAAGATCCACAGACTGCTTGCTTGCTGCAAAGGTAATTTATCCACACCACGTGGCTCATCAACTTCTATATCAGATAGTTTCGTGCTACAGTGATGTTTCAATTGAACTCTCTCACTGAAATCTTTTGTGGAAAACATAACTCAAACGCTGAGTAGCATGACTCTTTTATTGTCAGAGAGCACATGTGAAGTGGACTTTAAACCCATTACTTTTTTTTTTTAATTGTTTGTCTACAGGTGTGAGAAGACTGGCGAGCCTTTCCTCATCAGGTAAATATAATGTTTAACCTTTGGGGGTAGATTAGCTATAACTTTGCTCAGTGCTGCAATGATGATGACTATAAGAACTCTCTCTTGCCGAATCAACTTTGAAGAATTTTCTTTACCAGATTCTGAGCAGCACATGGGCTCCACTTAATGCATTATATATGCAATACTTACATCTAACTGGCTTATGGTTTGTTGGCAAATGCCGTCCAGTTAAACTTCATGCAGTCTTTTCAGCCTAATCTAATAAGAAGCTGAAATGTTGAGCTATTTTGCATGAACTTGCTTTTTAATTATAAAACTGTCCATGTGATGTAACATGAATATGGAAACTGCTAGTTCAAAGGGCCATGTGCTAAAAGAAACCATTTTGTCCTTTTTAGAGTTTCAAGGCCATACAAGAATGAAGGCTCTTTCTTTTAAGTTCGCATTTCAAATCGGCTGCAAGTGCACTGAGGTGAGTGAAATGTGGCTTTTTAAGAGTTTATTCTGTCATGGGGTATAAATATGATGATAATTAGACAAGCATATGTCTGATTTCACTGAAGTAAACCTTTTAATCTGATTACCTCTAAATTAACTGATGAAGAGGATTAATTTCCAAGCAGGTGGTTTAAACTCTTTGTTTCTCTGCTAGGTCCGAGTTTCTCAAGATGCTTTGGGCAAGGACTACGCATTAACATCTCGACATGTAAGTCTCAATGAATGAAGCAATCAAACGTGCTGTTTGAAAATGGGGTAAAACCCATCAAACATCTGGACTATCATTTCATAATGCAGTTCCAATGATGATGAACTTAGCTCACTTTGAACCGATGTGAAACGACACGAACAACTGAGAAACTGCATTATTTAATTTGTTTGCTTTATCTTGCCTCCTGGTCGATGTAGCTAACTTGTTTAAAATTGTAGAAATGGAGATGCATAGTTAAAATGTACCTGTATTCTGCCAACAGATGAATTGACTGAAGGCCTAAAGCTGTGCTGCTGAGTTCAAAGGTAAGCTGTCCTGACTCTAAACACAGAACCAACAGCCATTATTCCAGCCTTGCTGAAAATGATGAGATATATCTATGGAATCTCGTTCGTCTGAACTCCTGTTGAGAAAATCTATATCTGACATCAGTACACGTCAACTTAAACTGTTCAAGACGGGTAACATTTTGTGCTGACACGTGACGTTTACCTCTTGCAGATGCCTCTCTGGATCATGATGCTCACTGCTCAACAACAAAGGGGTTTGCCCAGGTGAGTCCTCATGTATAAAGAAATGTCTCTGTGACTCCACTTCTAGACACATTGCATAGTTTCCTTGTGATGACACCCGCACAAGTCTTACGCCTTGGTTCAATGCCAGAACCTGCAAAGGTGGACCCACTGGTGTTACCTTGGCAATAAGGTGAAGACCTGTTGGGGTTACCAACAGTCTGAATGGAAACGCTAAGATAAAATATAATTTTGTAATGGGGGCAATTTTAGTTTCTAGTGAGACTTGGTGTCAAATTGAAGAGAAATTATATTCTGATTGGCTCTTAGACAGATCTGTGCACCAGTATGCAGCTTGACTTTCTTTTCTTTCCCTTAAGGTTAACATCAATGCTGAACTGGGAACCCAAGTCATGAGGATGGCCAACGCTGATGTAAGTATCTTGTGATTAGTCAAATACTTATCAGTTACTCACCCTGGCTTGCGAGATGCTTTGAGAACAGATGTGCTGTTAAGGTCCTAAAATGCATTCACTGTGGAGGAATGGAACTTTTATTATTATTGACCTTGAAAAAGAGATCTTTTGATCTCAAGAGGCTTTCACCTGGTTAAATAAAGGCTACAAACATTAGCAGGGTGAATAATTGATATTAATAAATGATTAGTATTCCTTGCATCAAAGTGATGAGTTTCTAATTACCGCCCCAGTCTGATAATTCATGACTGATTGGTTACCCCTCTGATAAAACAAGATTTAAAGTACTTATGACTTCAGGAGAGTTCACGGGGTTTGCTAACTCAGCCTTCTTTTTATTTACCTGTTGCAGCTGTGATGCAATCTGACTCGTGGATCAGCACCGCTGCAGGACTGCTGCAGGTACATGATAAACATGTTTGCTTTCAGAGCGGCTGCACATGTCTAAAGTGATGATTTCCTTATTACCGCCCCAGTCTGAAAATTCATGACTGATTGGTTACCGAACTGATTAAACGAGAATTCAAATGGCTCTGATTCATGTGAGGTGGCTTTGAATAACTCGTCCTTTACTTGTTGCAGGTGTGACGCCGTCTGACTGTAGTGGTGTGTGTGGGGAACAAGTGCAGGACTGCTGCAGGTACATTATCAAATGTTGTCTTTCAGAGCTGCTGCACAAGTCTTAATTTCTAAAGTGATGATTTCCTTATTACAGCCCCAGTCTGAAAATTCATGACTGATTGGTTACCGAACTGATTTAAAGATAGAGATTTATTTTTAGTGTCTTGCTTTTCTTTACACATTTTAAGTGTTTATTTGTTATTTCAGACTCCAGCTGCGTCTGCTGCTTCAGGTTTAAGGTAAGAATTTAACATCACAATGTTAAAAGAGCATGTAGAAGTGATGAGTTTCTTATTACCGCCCCAGTCTGAAAATTCATGACTGATTGGTTACCCCTCTGATCAGAACATAAACAAATGGTTGTTGAAACATGTTTTGCTTTTTTTGCTACCCGTCTAAAACGTTTTTTTCTTTTGCAGGAACCGGTTGTCATGAAGAGAGGTCCAAAGCCATCTTGTTCTGTCGTGCAGTTTGCCAAGCTGTGGTACAGCCTTTCCTGGACATGGTTGGTGGCCACAGTTGACTGCCTCCTGAATTAATGTGTATTTCCAGATTGCAATTTATTATCAAATAAAAAAATTGTACGACAACTCAATTTTGTGTGAAATACTTTGGGACGGCACCATGCAAGAGTATTAACTGGGGAGCTAAAACTGCATGGTGTAAGAGTTTGCAACTGACTAAAGATTTAAAAACAATTAGCCTTTTTTCTAACCACAACAGAAAAGTATGGCTTGACATTAATATGAAATGCTTTTTCTTTGAAAGTTAGACACTGGTCATTTACTGTCAAAGGTACATTAAATAGTCATAACTCTTTATAAATAATTCACAGGTCAAATGGAAGTGTGCCATGCGGCCTCAAGCAAATCTGATCACAAGTTGAAGTGTAACAACCCGCATGCTTACACTTGGTTCATTAACTGACACTTGCAAGGGTAGTCTGGCCTTCAGATTCAAGTAACCTTGGAGTTGGACAATTTTTCAGTCAAAACATCATGGGATATGTTAACCTTAACATTTGAGAAACTGCTTCTAACTGCTAATTGGGTTCTCTCCCAAATGTTCACCCCTTGATCTCGTTATTGTTCATGGTATCTACAAGTGTCCAAAAAAATAGGTGTTATGGATACAGATGAATGCACAGTGCAATAATGACACGAGTCATGTTACACCTTAAACATGAGGCAGCTGTTTATACAAATTTAACATTCTTTCCTGTTAATGCTACCAATGATGCACCAGATGGCTTTTGATGTCATCCAGGGCCAGAGCCTGCAGGGAAACACAGCAACAACAGGCATCAGACAGGAGGAATTTGATGCAGCAACAATGAAAATACATTTATCAGTTATCGGGTATATGCAGGAATCCTGAAGTCAAATGTAATACATTAAGACCTTTTTTTAAATGAAAATACATTTATCAGTTATTACTTAAAGTGAAAACATTTATCTGGAATAAGTCTCACCTCTTGTATTGCCTCTTTTGACAGGGCTCCTGGTAAGTCCTGTTTGTTGGCAAACACTAGCAGCGTTGCACCAGCTAACCTCTGCATGGATAGGACACACAAATAGAGTAATATCATATTGATACAGAGGTTAAACAGCAACGTGGTTTTCAGCTACAAACTGCAAGAATAAAAAGACAGCTATTTACTGTCATGCCTCATAGTTTGGGGCTGTGCTTGCTAAAATGCTGACTCATTTCCAGGTTTTAGGACTCTTGCAGTTTCTTTTGAAACTGTTGTATGTGTGTTGGTCTGTACCTCCTCCAGCAGCAGTGAACTGAGCTCCTTTCTGCAGTCCTCCAGTCTGAGTCTGTGCGCTGTCCACCACCCAGCAGGGAAACACGGCAAGAACCCCCGCGAACACACGCTCACCTCAAATAGGAAGCGAGGAAAGGGGGGGAGGAGGGGAGCGTCTTACCGGAGAAGCAGGAAATATTTCACAACAGGGTGATATTGCAGCCAGAGGTTTGGCAGAGGTGATGCTTTATACAGTCTATTGGTGATGCAGTGACAGCAGAGGAGAACAGGCATCAGACGGGAGGAATTTGAAGCAGAAAGAGTGAATGTAAGATACACATTTCATAAAAAGGGATTATAACAATGTTAGATAACTCTCACCTCTTGTATTGCCTCTTTTGACAGGCTCTCCTGGCATTACATTACATTGCATTTAGCTGACGCTTTTATCCAAAGCGACTTACAATAAGTGCGTTCGACCAACAAAATACAAACTTGAAGAAAACAGAATCATATAAGTACATCAGGTTTCATAGAGCTAAAACATTTCAAGTGCTACTCAACTGGCTTTAGATAAGCCAGCCCTTTATTAGTATATAAGTGCTTTGTTAATAGTTATATCGCTCGAAGTGGAGTCGAAAGAGATGAGTTTTCAGTCTGCGCCGGAAGATGTGTAAGCTTTCTGCTGTCCTGATTTCAATGGGGAGCTCATTCCACCATCCTGGAGCCAGGACAGCAAACCCACGTGTTTTTGCTGATGGGAACTTGGGTCCCCCTCGCAGCGATGGTGCAGCGAGCCGTTTGGTTGATGCAGAGCGGAGTGCACGTGCTGGGGTGTACGGTTTAACCATGTCCTGGATGTAGGAAGGGCCAGATCCATTCGCAGCATGGTACGCAAGTACCATTGTCTTGAAGTGGATTCTAGCAGTTATCGCAAGACTATGGCAAGTCCTGTTTATTGGCAAACACTAGCAGCGTTGCACCAGCTAACCTTTGCATGGATAGGAGTCACACAATTAAACAGATTAATATAATATTGATACAAAAATTCAACAGCAACATGGTTTTTTAGCTGCAAACTGTGAAATAATCAAAATAAATGTATTATCTGTCATTCCTCAGAATGTGTGGCTGCAATAATAATCACTAATTTCCAAGTTTTTGGACTTCTGCAGCTATTTATAAAAAAATTAAGAAAAACAATAACATTGTTTCTCATCAAATGTCTTCTATATTAATGTTTTTTTTACACTGTCCTGTGCTATTTGCGATTCTCAACTTGATATGAGTTCATAGATAACCCGAAGTTTTATTAGTGCTCCTTGTAGTTTCTGAGATACAGACATTTGTTATCATACTGTATTTTCCCAGCGTTTCAATACCAACACCATACTATTTTTAGTATGCCTGAAACCCTTATAGTATGCCCCATGGTCCTAGCAGGTCGAATGCAATAGCCCAGTGGTTCTCAAACTTTTTCTATCAGGCCCCCCCTTTGGAGAAAAAAATAAGTCGGGCCCCCCCCAACACAAATAGTCAGGCTCAGTGGCGGCGCCAGATATTTATTTTGGGGTGCTGTTGGGTAGATTGACGTTTCATAGAGGGTGCTCAAACATTTAGGGTTTCCCATTAATGTACCGGTCGCTACAGTGGAATTTTCTACTGCAACACTCCCCACGCAAATACACAGTGTGACAGTTACAATGAAGGCTCGAGACATATACACTGAACAAAAATATAAATGCAACACTTTTGTTTTTGCTCCCATTTTTCATGAGATGAACTCAAAGATCTAAAACATTTTCCATGTACACAAAATAACCATCTCCCCCAAATATTGTTCACAAATCTGAAAAAATCTGTGATAGTGAGCACTTCTCCTTTGCCGAGATAATCCATCCCACCTCAATCAATCAATGTTTATTTATATAGCCCAATATCACAAATGTTACATTTGTCTCAGTGGACTTTACAGTTTGTACAAAATATCAGTATGACAATACGACACCCTCTGTCCTTAGACCCTCACATCGTACAAGGAAAAACTTCCGGAGAAAACCCACAGTTTAAAGGGAAAAATGGGAGAAACCTCAGGGAGAGCAACAGAGGAGGGATCCCTCTCCCAGGACGGACAGACGTGCAATAGATGCCGTGTGTAAATTGAAAAGATAATACATTTGCAACATAGGTAGTCCAAATGTTTGGAAATGCATGTGTGTATAATAGGAAGATGAATCCACGAGGATATCCATCCAGGACCAATGATCCAGGACCACAGCCACGACTCAAGATCCAGGGCTCGCGATCCAGGACCGAGGAGCGCAGGATCATCCATGACTCCGGATCCCGGTGTATATAGACACCAAAAAGAAAGACATTTGGGGAAGCTGGGTTAATCGGAACATGAGAGTACACAGGTATAGACAGAGAGAAGGAAGAAGTAAGATGTCCCCCGACAAACTAAGCCTATATCAGCAAAACTAGGGGCTGAATCTAATCAGCCCTAACTATAAGCTTTATCAAAAATGAAGGTCTTAAGCGCACTCTTAAAAACGGATAGGGTGTCTGCCGCCCGAACACAAACTGGAAGCTGATTCCACAAATGTGGAGCTTGATAAGAAAAGGCTCTGGCTCCCATTGTACTTTTAGAGACTCTAGGAACAACCAACAACCCTGCATTCTTGGAACGCAATGCCCTAGTAGGACAGTAGGGTAGAATGAGTTCTTTAAGGTAAGATGGCGCCTGCCCATTAAGGGCTTTGTAGGCGAGAAGAAGAATTTTAAATTCTATCCTGTGTTCTATAGGGAGCCAGTGTAAGGCAGCCAGAACAGGAGTAATGTGGTCCCTTTTCCTAACTCTGGTTAGTACACGAGCTGCAGCATTTTGAATCAGCTGAAGCGACTTGACTGACTTCTTGGTACACCCTGATAATAAAGAGTTACAATAATCCAGCCTTGAAGTAACAAATGCATGGACTAGTTTCTCTGCATCGTTTTGAGGCAAGATATGCCTGATTTTTGCAATGTTACGTAGATGGAAGTAGGCGGTCCTTGAAATTGATTTTATGTGGGCGTTAAAGGATAAATCCTGATCAAATATAACACCAAGATTCCTTACAGTCTCACTGGAGGCCAAATTAATGCCATCCATAGTTAGTATATCCTTAGATAATTTGTTTCGTAGATTCTTCGGGCCAAGTACAATAACTTCAGTTTTGGTCGTGTTTAACATCAAAAAGTTTAAGGTCATCCACGTTTTTAAGTCCTTAAGGCAGTCTTGAATTTTATTTAGATGATTAATTTCATCAGGCTTGATTGATAAATATAGTTGAGTATCATCCGCATAACAATGAAAGTTTACACAATGATTCCTTATAATATTGCCTAACGGAAGCATATATAATGTGAACAAAATAGGTCCGAGCACTGAGCCCTGTGGCACTCCATGGCTAACTTTGGTTTGCGTGGAAGATTCATCATTGACACGTACAAACTGAGAGCGTTCAGATAGATAGGACCTAAACCAGTCTAAAGCAGTTCCCTGTATGCCAACTAAGTGCTCTAGTCTTTGCAATAAGATATCATGGTCGATAGTATCAAATGCAGCACTGAGATCGAGCAAAACAAGAATAAAGACACGTCCCTTGTCAGAGGCTATTAGAATGTCATTTGTGACTTTAACCAGAGCTGTCTCTGTGCTATGATGTGTTCTAAAGCCAGACTGAAAATCTTCAAATAAATCATTGTTTTTTAAGTAATCACACAACTGTTTTGCGACCGCTTTCTCAAGAATTTTTGAGAGGAACGGAAGATTGGAAATAGGTCTATAATTGGCTAAAACCTCTGGATCGAGGTTGTGCTTTTTAAGAAGCGGTTTTATCACTGCTACTTTGAATGATTGTGGAACATAGCCTGATAATAAAGACATATTCATAATATTTAATAAATAAGTGCTAATTAATGGAAAAACTTCCTTCAACAGCTTAGTTGGAATTGGGTCTAACATACACGTTGATGGTTTAGAAGAGAGAATCATTGAATTTAATTGTTCAAGGTTTATGGCTGAAAAGCATTCTAGTTTACTATCTAGTGTAATATTAGAACTTACGTTTCCGGGAGCTGTTGATAACACTATACTGGTCAAAGGCAAGAGGTCATTAATTTTGTTTCTAAGAGTAACAATTTTATCGTTAAAAAAGCACATAAAATCATTACTACTGAGTGCTATGGGAATAGAAGGCTCAATCGAGCTGTGGCTTTCTGTCAGCCTGGCTACAGTGCTGAAAATAAATCTTGCGTGTGGCATATCAAGATGCTGATTAGACAGCATGATTATTGCACAGGTGTGCCTTAGGCTGGCCACAATAAAAGGCCACTCTGAAACGTGCAGTTTTGCTTTATTGGGGGGGTTTGGGGGGGGTCCGAAAACCAGTCAGTATCTGGTGTGACCACCATTTGCCTCACGCAGTGCAACACATCTCCTTCGCATAGAGTTGATCAGGTTGTTGATTGTAGACTCCAGGAATTGTGTACAGATCCTTGCAACATGGGGCCGTGCATTATCATGCTGCAACATGAGGTGATGGTCGTGGATGAATAGCACAACAATGGGCCTCAGGATCTCGTCACGGTATCTCTGTGCATTCACAATGCCATCAATACAATGCACCTGTGTTCGTCGTCCATAACATACGCCTGCCCATACCATAACCCCACCACCACCATGGGCCACTCGATTCACAACATTGACATCAGAAAACCGCTCACCCACACGACGCCACACACGCTGTCTGCCATCTGCCCTGAACAGTGAAAACCGGGATTCATCCGTGAAGAGAACACCTCTCCAAAGTGCCAGACGCCATCGAATGTGAGCATTTGCCCACTCAAGTCGGTTACGACGACGAACCGGAGTCAGGTCGAGACACCGATGAGGACGACGAGCATGCAGATGAGCTTCCCTGAGACGGTTTCTGGCAGTTTGTGCAGAATTCTTTGGTTATGCAAACCGATTGTTGCAGCAGCTGTCCGAGTGGCTGGTCTCAGACGATCTTGGAGGTGAACATGCTGGATGTGGAGGTCCTGGGCTGGTGTGGTTACACGTGGTCTGCGGTTGTGAGCCCGGTTGGATGTACTGCCAAATTATCTGAAACGCCTTTGGAGACGGCTTATGGTAGAGAAATGAACATTCAATTCACGGGCAACAGCTCTGGTGGACATTCCTGCTGTCAGCATGCCAATTGCACGCTCCCTCAAAACTTGTAACATCTGTGGCATTGTGCTGTGTGATAAAACTGAACCTTTTATTGTGGCCAGCCTAAGGCACACCTGTGCAATAATCATGCTGTCTAATCAGCATCTTGATATGCCACACCTGGTGGGATGGATTATCTCGGCAAAGGAGTGCTCACTATCACAGATTTTTTGAGATTTGTGAACAATATTTGAGAGAAATGGTTATTTTGTGTATATAGAAAAGGATTTAGATCTTTGAGTTCATCTCATGAAAAATGGGAGCAAAAACAAACTCGCCTCAAACAATATTTCTTATGTCCATGGAAACTATTATATAAGACTTGGCACAAAGTATATTTTCTTGTTGAAGGAAGTCAATTAATTTAAATTCTATATTTAATCCAAACAAAAAAATATAGATTTTATCAAACAGTTTTTTCTCGTTAAAATTAACTAAATATTATTTGTTTTATCCAATCAAAAATGTATACATTTTGTTAAACTATAAATTTCTCATTTAATCTAATCCAAAAAATATAGATTACATCAATAATTCTCATTACACATTGTGATATTTAATAACGGGTTTATTACTTATAAAACAATGTACAGGGTATCAGCATTGTTCAAATAAAATATAACAATTTAAAATAATACATAGAAAAACTGCACCGCGGTTGTATGCCTAAAGGCATAAAAATGAAAAATAATTCTTGCCTGAAAACAGTCAAGTTTCTCAAGGGTCAGATTGGAACTTTGAAGAGCTGGCAGCCAAACATATTATTGACCTTTGAAACCAAATGCGTACGCAAAACAGTTGCGTACTCTACCAGCCAGAGCAGAGCCCATCAGTGCCACAGGGTAATTGCTATGACAGTTTTTATATATTCCAGATTGAGAGCATAAAGGAAGCCCAGGAGAATGGCGACAGTATTTGCAACAGACGCCAACTTATTCACAACCTCTTGTCCCTCAAGAATGATGCCAATGTCTTTGGTTGCGACTTGTGCATCTCTGATGACGAAGATTGCGATAGTTTCCCGCTGAAGAATTTGTCCAGCCTCATCCTTCTCCGACACCTGGAAAATAATTTAGCAAAAAAGAATCTGAAATCAATATAGCTCGGGTTTCCCCCCAGATGAATAGCCTAACTGTTAAGACATATCGTGGACGTCCTGGAAGGCCATAATTGGCTGTAAGAAGGAATTGTATCGTGATGCATAGCTTTGGCTCTTGTCTGCAGCTATTGTCTGAGCACGTCTTTAAACACTACTAGGACTGCCTATTGGTTACTCGCTGTGTTGGTGACATTTGAATTTGACTTGTACTCCTATTACACTTGTTGTTAGTCATAAGAGCACCTGCTAAATAACTAAAATGTTATGTAAAATGTAACACACATCATATAAAGTGGACAGCCTTAGCTAGAATTTTAACACCTCAACAGTAATCTTGCCTTACCAGGAATTCTTTGATCAGGTCCTCCACCGATTCTCCCATGTTGAGGATGAGACATTTGAGAGCAATCTCCTTCTTTGTAGTGGTGTCAGTATCCTGCATGAAGACAGTCACAATAATTAATGTTAATTGTTCAGTTCATCCATTCAATCAGTGTGAGTGTGCCATGGTTTGTTAATGTGGAATTGAGATCTAGTGTATGTAGGAATGAATGCATGGGAATGGTCATATATGCAGATGAGCTTTGGGTGATAAATGAGTAAGTATGCATTTAGACAGTAGAGACATGAAAAAAGAGCATAGTTTGGCGTGAAGGTAGGGCTGGACACTTTTTCATATCAGTCGATAAAATAATGATTACAATATCAGTCAATTAGTGTGTCAACCATATTAAGGCCATGAAAAAACAGCCAAGAATTCCCATTACGCCAAAATGGATGTCTAAACATGTAGAAAAACATGAACATGAAGAATGAATGTGCCAAGTCTATGAAACCTCTGGCTAAAAGGTTGCCGTGTCGGATCAGTGACCAATGCTATAAATAATTGATTATGTATTGAAAGATATATCTATTGTTATTGAGGCATATATGTAAGTGAGCAGTAAAGTAAAAAAACATCTGTACATACCGTTTCCACAAATGGCAGGAGCTTTGTCTTCTCCCGGATAGCTCCACCCTTCTTTCTGACGACTTGAATTAGTTCACTGCACTTCTCGTCAAGTTTCTGCATGAACCTTGCTTCAAGGGGTATTGTGGTTACTCTGATGAATGCTTCATTCACCTAGGGAATATAGGTAGTATAGGTATATATATATATATATATATCAAAAACAGACAAAGGATATGTGCCTCATGCAAAAGCATGTGATTTAGCTTTACGTACATTTGATTACACACACATATACATACATACTATGAGTAAAGTTAGTGTACCTCTTGAACTTCGAAGAGTGCTGGCCATCTCTCGATCATTTCGTGCAAAGATGTTTTCTTGTCGACAATTTCTTGCCTCCGAAATGCGAACGTCCGAGCCATCTTCTGTCTTATTGTTTGGACATTGTTCCTTTTCTTTACCTCAGACATGAGGGCCACTCTCTCTTGCTCCATGGACTCTGGTGTCTCGTTGAAAGGCAGAGATGGGTAATGATTAGACTCAGCTCGCCTAGGTTTCTTTATGTTCTTTGCTGGGTGGGCATCCGTCGGCAACTTTCTTTTCACAGTATTCACAGTCAGCTCGTCAGATGATGAACTATGTGATTTCAGGTATGTGCGATAGTTGTACATCTTCGTCTTGAGTCTCTGTTTCCATCCGTAACTGTGGTTGAAGGACCCAGGTTCTTTCAGACAGGGGTGTGTCTGTGTGAGTGCCTCTGCCACTTCACTGAAGTCTGCATCGCTAGGATAGGATTTGTATGAATAGACTTTGTCAGCGAGCGTTTCCAGTATGTTGGAAAGCATTTTAGAGCTGGGAGTGAGTCTAACCTGGCTTCTCTGGTGCTCTGCATTTCCATCCCTAAGTTGTGTTTCTGTTGAATGAGAGAAAGTAGGGATGAGGAACACCTTGGGCCACTGCTCCTTTCTGTAGGTGTCCCGAAGAAGGGCTGCTTACGGGTAATGTGTCACCTGAGCATGCAGATGAAGACATACTGGAATCATCTTGGCTTTGAAAATTAGCCTTATCTGTCAGAGAATATTTTAATCCGATCTCTTTGTGTCTTGAGTTTCTCAGCTATTCTGAGAAACTGTTAGTCACAAAGATATGCTTTTCGTTAAATCACATATACTCCTGCCTGTAATGTGAGAAGGACACAGGTCAAGAGGTCCTCTGACTTCCTGTGGGGGAGGGGTTTGGCACATGTGGGTTTGTAATACAAACGGGTTCTTTGTTCCAATGTCTGGTAATGATTAAGATAGGAAAGGCGGGCTTTTTAGGACCCTCCTTTAAGGATATATCTATCCATGTTTCCACGCTTTGTCTTTAGAGTGTTGCTAGGTGGCTCACAAGGAAGTGTGATATACTTTGGGACCTCTCCGGCCGTATTCTACTCACAATAAATATCAGTGTTTGACTAAAGTCGCTCCAGTTTCCATCCTTTCTGCACAGAAGTTTTCATCACATTATCCACAGAGTATTCCACTGGCTCTAAGAATAAAGTCACACTGGGTACTACATTAATAACTTTCAAAGTGGCAAGATCCTTGAGTTCTGAAGTTGAAGTTAAGTTAACCCAAGTGCCGAAATCAGCGTCTTTGTATTGAAGCCGTATTTCATTAGTTAGACCACAGAAATTCGTTATTTCTTGGATGACTTCGTCAACCGAGGAGGGGATGCCATTAGGAAGCTCCAGCTTGATGCGACTGTCCCCTTCTAAAATCACCAGGAGCCACGTGACGCCCGCCATGTTTGGAGATCCTCTGAGTGGGAGGGAAAGAAAGAAGGGTGGGGTTTGGAGAGAGAGAGAAAGAGATATTAGAGATGTGCTTTGTTCATGGTTGACTAATGATTGTGTGCTATGAACAAATAGTTTTACGTGCAACATTAGCTCTGTTGAATTTAAATGATATGATCATTCATGTTAATTACAATGAAAACAAAATTAACCTGCATAATTCATCACATCCACTTTGATTCCGACCCACCCCAAACAGATATTACTTTATGCTAACCTTGAATATATCGCTTGAGTGTAATAAGCCGCATGGCCCCAACTGTGTAGTCTGCCAGGGGGTAAGGATCGGTCAGTTGAGATGCCTCAAAAACTTCAATCTTCTTTGAAGCGAGATTTCGAGTTGATAGGCTCTGTAGTGTTCCATGTACCAAGAACTTAGTTTCCGAACAATGAAGACCAATTCCTTTTTGAGAACCACCATCTGGATGATTTCAGTGAATGCAGGCATCCCTCCGATTGATCCATGAGCAAGGATCATTCCAAGTCTGTAGTTAAATCCGTTATAGATGACATTTTCGGCCAAAGAAACTTCCTTCACATTTGGGTGTTTGACAGCCTGTGCAATATCATCTTTCAGGACGTCAATGCAAACAGTTGAGAACTTTTTCACTTCCAGTAGAGGCTTAGGAAAGCTACATGAGTAGAGCTGGTGTGCCATGGATAACTGGTGTCTCTCTGCCAAGGACAACAACAAGTTTTTAAAGCAGCTAGTGTGTCGTACAACTCTCTTAAAAAAGCTATGCTTGGCTTCAAATCTTAAAGTCCAGAGAGAAACTAGAGGACCAAACTGATAGATTAGCTGTGGGGGAGTCACGTGATCAGCTGGACAAGATGGCAGCATAGGTTAAACTCGCTCAACCCAGTGATGCTAATTCTGTAAATATATACCGTTGAGACCATTTAAAAAATATATATTTTAGCCTCTGAGTGTTTGATCGAAGGCAATGTCTAAATAGAGCAAAAAGTCGCCGCCTGAAAAGGGTCCCGAGACGAGGGGGAAGTCTGACATGGAGGCGTTAGCCGACACGGTGCTTGAGAAGCAACGAGGCTATCTGGATTCGCGCTTCGACCAACTCCAACAGATGGGAAAGGAGACGGAGGGGAAATTGACTTCTATCCAAACGGACTTGATGGTACTGAGTGAAAGCATCGGCACCGTTAAGGCAGAGATGGGCAAGATACGGGTGGATGTGGTGAAAAATTCGGGTATGCTAGCCACCCACGAGGATACGCTGGACATGATGCAACTCAAGCTAGCGGACATGGAGGACCGGAGCAGAAGATGCAACGTCCGTATAACTGGGCTAGCGGAAGGACTTGAAGGGTCTAACGCCATACAATTTCTGACACACTCACTTCCAAAGTGGTTCCCCTCCTTAGGTAATCTGAAGGGCGAGTTAATGCGAGCTCATCGTATCTACAGCGACGACAGGAAGAAGCAGGTAGGCGCTACCCGCACTTTGATTTTCAACGTTCTCCGTTACACCACCCGCCAAGACATACTCCGTGCCGCAAAGAAAGCCCCGCTCACGATTGATGGACGGAGGATTCGCTTCTCCCCTGACCAGTGCTTGAATTGGAATGAAAAAGGTGCCAGTACTCTAAAATCAGCAACTTTTTCAAGTCAATTTTATATATACAGCCCACAAACAAGAATTTGGCTACTATAATGCTGGTGGGTTTGTCTCTTTACTACTGTATATTTTAGAAAGGTTCACTGTACTTAACATTTTTTATGATAGGCAGCGGATATGGCTAAAGCTCAGTAAGGTCAATATTAACTGAAAATATAGCAATCAAAGTCTAGATCTTCTGCTGAAGACACATGAAGCAGAGACCTTTCAGGTGAGAGCCCCTCTGGTGGTGTTCAACATTAATGACAAGGAAACAAAGCTCTGGTCAGAAGCATTTTTTATAAAAAGCTTTAACAAAATTAAGTATTTCTGTACATTTTGAATGCAATCTAACTTTCCAACTCAGAAAACGAAAAACGAAAAAGTGCCAAAAGTCTTCTCACATGGCTGAGCTGCTTTGCAATATACTTCACCACTGAAGAATACAAATATGTATAAAGTAAACTATGATGCAATCTAACTTTCCAACTCAGAAAAAATGATAAAGAGCATGAACAAAGAACATGTAAAAACTAGGGCCGGGACTCGATTAAAAAAATTAATCTAATTAATTAGAGGCTTTGTAATTAATTAATCGAAATTAATCGCATTTTTAATCGCATATAAATATTTGACCTGAGAACAGTGAGAAGCAATTTTTTTCACATGGATTTTAGTATACCATTAGGCGCATTCACACCGCAGTACTTTTCCCACAAAGATTCATGAGAACTTAGTTCATGAGAACAAATGAAGCCGCTGACGTCACTTCTTCTTCTTCTGCTTTGGGTTTACTGGCAGGCCGCAAACCACTTCACGGCGTATACTGCCGCCCAAAGTCCCCGGCCGGAAGTCCCCGGAGTTGGGGACTGGCTTCAGTAGAAGCTGCTGGGAGTCCCAGCAGCTTCTACTGAAGCCTTCCGAGTAAATCGCCAGAACGCCGACACCTCCTCATCTCTACTGCTCCCATGTTTTATTTTGTGTTGCCATAAGTTAGTCTCTCTGCGTTTCTGCGCTGGGCTAATGCTAATAATGCTAATGCGAGGATAATAAAATGGCGGCTTCACCAAACTTTTTGGGAGTTTTACGGGGCGTGGTTTGCAATCCGCCCAGCCAATCAGAAATATAGCTCTTTTCTCACAAGAGAGCCGTACGAAAGTCCCTGCTCTCTAGCAACTCTCTGCTCTCTAGCAGGGACTTTCGTGGGGGTAAAAAGGTTCTCAGTAACTAATTTTAGTACCGGCTCTTTTTGGTGTGAACCATAGACTGTATGGTGTGAACGCGATAAAAGAGGCTAACGTCCACGCTAGCTTCCACGCTAGCTGCTATATGTTTTTGCATTGAGGTGATACTTGAGGCTTGATGTGCTGCGGTGATATGCGAATTCCTTTTTGCATAATTTGCACACAACCGTGCTCTTATCGACGCTTCCATCCGTCCGTTTTTTAAAACAACATTTCCCACTGTTGTTCACTGTGGTTTGTTGTTGTCTGAAGTCATGAACGTTAGTTGGTGCTCCAGTATAATCGGTACGCCTGAAACTCATCCAGTGAGAAACGTTCCGCGGTGCAAAAATAAGTGCGATTAAAATGCGTTAATTTTTTTAACGCGTTAATTTTTGTGTAATTAATTAATCTTAATTAACGCGTTAAAGTCCCGGCCCTAGTAAAAACAAATGCAAAATTTGCACAATCTAAAATGAGAAACTGTAACTGCAAGTAACAAAGTCTGAGCCATGGTAAAGAGTTACATTGAACACCAAGCTGATCAGATAACTCCCTGGTTGGTCTGAAGTCCTTCTATCTCCAGGATCTGTACAAATCGGCACATTATGCCAAAATTCTTCTCACTGGGTGAGCTGCTTTGCAATATACTTCACATTGTTAGAAAAGGCTCCAGAAGGCCTTGGGGACATCAGTATCAGGGGCTGGAGCTGGACAGGCTCTTTCATCAGCACTTCTCCTTCCCTTTGCCAGCCAGGACCTCACATACTGTTCCGGATTGAACTGTCCTAGTGATGGTCCATTACATTTAATGAAAACCAGGCTGGACAGTCGGCTGACAGAGAGAGCATTCCTTTTTGCAGTAAGGATATCGTTCATGCAGCTGAATGCCCGCTCACACTCACTAGTGGAGACAGCGATGGTTCGGACTGCTTTCAGTAGAGGCTCCATGGCAGCAGGTGTATGGGATGCCCTGGTTTCCTATTCGCGAAAGCCCTGAACAGTCTCTCTTCTGTCCACTTTCAGCACTTCGCACAAACGTAGCACCTCTACGTCCCCATACTGTACGTCTAACTCCTCTTCAGGCCAACTTCCAGGATGGATAACTTTCATGTCCTGGATTAGCTGATTGTCCCGGGCCTCCCGGCCATGTAATGGGATTTCTCTTGTGCTGACATGAGAGGAGGTTGTGGAAGTCATTCTGTGTCTCAGATTCTCTACCATACTGCGGAAAAACTGACCTGCATGAATCTGTACAAGCCTGCCATTCTCACGCAGGGCAACACCCTTGAAGGACTTCTCAGCTAGAGCTGTATGAACTGTAGTCATGTGTGGGCCAGGCATGGTGACCATGGATTCAAAAACTCGTATTTCTCGAGTTAAGAGCCTATCTGCTGTAGGCAGTGTCATCTCTCTTTTTTGGAGTTGCCGAGAGAGGTCGCTGAGCTCTGTGAGCGCATCGTACATCAGTCCCAGATTGCTGACAAACGTTGCAGATGTGAGCACATCATCCAGGCCCTTGTACTTTGCTCTGTCTCTGGAATCCCTGCTCGTGTCGTTTGCAGCATTTGTGAAGTGATCATGAAGCACTCGGTAGTTTTCCCAGACTGCTCTGACGCTCCTTTCACTTGAAGCCACCCAGCGGATGGACAAAACACGCCCTATCACCAGGAGACGCTGTCCGACTGCTTGCGCACACTGCGCTAACTGCCTCTGATTTTTGGGGGAGGCATGGAACAAGGAATAGAGTTTGTCAAAAAAGATCTGGAAATGATTGAGCCCTGAGACCTCCTTGACCACATCCCCAACTGCCAGCTCTAGACGATGATTGGAGCAGTGCCACACAAACAGGCTTGGGAATTTACTACACAACTGGGTAGCAACGCCTGTTCTCTTCCCTAGCATGACTGAAGCCCCATCACATGCAAAAGAAACGAAACACTGACCTAAAAAGTCCTCGTTAAAATCTCTTCCAAGACACTCCATTAACGCCTTTGTGATGTCATCAGCCGTTGTTCCATCCAACTCGATCAGCTCCCAAAAAAACGTTTCGGGCTCAGCATCAGCTAATGCTGAGCGTAGACACACAACAAGCACCGTTTTACCACTAATAGTGGTAGATTCATCGACCAAAACACAGAGTTTTCTTTGGTTTTCTGTAATGTCTTTTGCCATTTTTTTTCTTCAGCTCATGAGCTATGTGGTCGATGATTTCGCCACAGGTTTTATTGGAGTGCAAAACCCTGCCCACGTTCAGCCCATTCAGTTTCTGTACATTCAAATCAATTGGCATGTCTGTGAATGGCCGGCTATGTTTGCCAATTTTATATGCCGTTCGAAAAACTCTGATAGTGGTGTCTAATTCAGATTTATGCATAGACTGCACTTGATGTTGAATAGTTTCACGTGAAGCAGATGTAAGGATGTCAGCAGCTTTTACATGGGCTTGTGATTCTTTATGTTCTTTGATTTTTTTTCTCAGGCTAGCTTGTTGTTTGCCCTTGTCAACACCGAAATGAGACACTGCACACTCACCCCATTCAGTTGACAGTTTCAGTCCTTGTCCAGTGTGTATTCCCAAAGATTTGACATGATCTCTGCATATCCGACATCCTAGCTTCTTATCTTTAAGAAGGAGCCATGCATTGGTCTTGCAAAAATATTGCACCTGGTCCGTTGTCCAGCAGTCAGGTGCATCGCTTTGCCCGGTGTTGGTGGTGGCAGTTGCGCCAGCAGCAGCTAACGTTAGAGGCTCTGGAGGAGGCGGCGGAGCTAGTGCTAATGCTAATGCACTAGAACTTGGAGCAGGAGGATCAACCAAAGAAAGCTCCCCATCAGACACAATTTCCAACACAGGCACAGCATTCTCTGTATTTGAAGTTTCTTCCGGCGACAACCGCTGTCTTTTTGCACTTTTATTAATCCAAGCTAACATTTTAGAAATGCTAATTTGTGACGTGACTTGCTTTCCTTCTCTCGGGGGCGTGCCTGCTCTGTTCTATCACTCTACATAGCCACCCACTGGGTGGGAGTTGCACTGCATAAA